AACAATTTGTCAAAAGCCAACATTCCTGGAAAAGTATATTTTGAAACCTTTAGAACATTCTTGCTGGGATCCAACACGAGCTTTCCGAGCTGGGATTGGGTTTTCTAGTACTAATTTGGAGCAGTAAAAACACATGACAGGGTCTGATTCAGAAAGGGAGGAAGGCTGCCAGTAGACAGTTATAACAAATGAAAACCTACCTTCATAACAAGAGTCCCACGGATGACATGGTCAATTGTTCCATAGTCAAATTCATCTTTGGGAACATAGTGGAAGTATTCCTTGTCTGGGCTTATGGCCTTCAGCAGCTTTAGCACGTTGTTTGAATACAGAGTGCTGGCCTGGGTTGCCATGCGGCTGGGCAGGTCTGTGTAGCCAATATGAGTTACTCCCTAGTTATTAAAAGATACAAAAATATTATTTTGACATAAAGACAGGCTTCCAAGGCATTTATGTTATCTATCAAAGTCTGCTGGCTTTGCGGAAATCTCACCTTGTAAACGTACAGCTCTCCAGGCCTGGTGGTCTCAATGTTGCCCCCTGCCTCTGAGGCCATATCCACCACCACAGAGCCGTCCTTCATCGACTCCACAAACTCTTTCTTGATCAGAATGGGAGCTCTCTTTCCTGCATGGAAACAGGAAACACAGGGACAGGTGCTCATAATATCTTTTAATCTAGGGATAGTCAGAGGTCAGTGAATCCACATCAAAGCTGCATGTATCTTTTCTTTTTTTTCCACAAGGGGGCGGAAAACCTAATTCAGATATGCATCAAAAAGGGCTCATTGAGTTGTTATGGCTTGTTTATCAAGTTCTGCACACCAATAGTTGGGTTGTAGTTATCAGTAAATTCACCACAGTGGCTCATTGTTACCATGCAATCAATTATGATTCATCTGCTTCAAACACTCAAAGATATAAAACAGAGCAGTGAATGAGGCTGACCTGGAATCAGAGCAGTGCTGATGACGATGTCGACCTCTTTACACTGCTTGGCAAAAAGTGCCATCTCGGCTTCAATGAACTCCTTGGACATCTCTTTGGCGTAACCTCCAACCCCATCACCAGACTCTTTCATGTCTACCTCCAAAGGCTCTGCCCCAAACGATTTGAACTGCTCCAGGGCTGCTGGCCTGGCGGTCGACAAACAGTCCGATTATTATCAAAGACATGATCATCCCACCCATCATAACAGAGTAGGAAATTATTATTAATTATTATTTTCTGATACCTGGTGTCAAACCCTCTGACAATGGCTCCCATCGACTTGGCTGCACCTGCTGCTGCCAGACCAGCCACTCCACCTCCAATAACTAGGACCTGTGTACAGCCGAATCATTATTATGGAAGGTGTGGACCCTTTGCATTGAACTTTAATGTAAAGGGTCATGTTGACCTGCATAATAAGTCAATTTTATTGCAATTGCCCAACGTATAAGCCAACAAAATGACCAACACAATTGCTTCAGGGGGTTTTACAATCTGTAAAGCATCCGACACCCGCCGCCCTTTTTAACCCTTGCTCCGGATAAGAATAAAATAAAATCCCCAAACTACCCTTTCAAGAAGAGGAAAAAAATGAAAGAAATCTTAGAAAATATAATTACCACGAAGATAATCCACATGAAAACATGACACGTTCTGTAAAATGTGAACACATAGAGGACAAACATAATAAGATACCTTAGCGGGGGGGACTTTTCCTGCAGCTGTGATCTGACCAGTAAAGAACCTGCCAAAGTGGTTGGAAGCCAGAACCACAGCCTTGTACCTAAAAAACATTAAAGTCACATTTACTTTAAATAAACATTTCTGAACAGCTACAAATATATAATACATGGCATTTTGATAGCGATTTTCCTAATGCTCAAAGACGCTTGGTTCAGTGAAAGTTTTCTTTACCCAGCGATGTTAGCCATGGAGCTGAGAGCGTCATAGCCCTGTGCGATGGTGACTCTGGGCACCTGGTCCATGGCCAGCACGTTGCTCTGCCTCTCTGACAGCTTCATCATCAGCTCTGAGTTCTGTGCCGGGTAGATGAAGCTCACCAAGGTGGAGTTAGGCTTCAGGAGGTCTGCCTCAGTCAAAGTGGGGGCTCGAACCTACAGCAATTTAGCAATATCCTGACTCAGACAACCTACACAAAGAATGGTGCTTAGGTGACCAAATAGCAGATATGTTCAAACCTTGAGAACCAAGTCTGATCCTAGGGCTCCGTTGACGTCAGTGATGGTGGCTCCTGCATCTCTGTAATGCTGATCAGAGAACTTGGATTCCTCTCCGGCTCCACTCTCCACCTGCACGTTAAAGCCTTGTTTCACCAGAGCCTCAACCCCCGCAGGAGACAACGCCACGCGGCGTTCGTTCTGTAGGGTCTCCTTAGGAACTCCAACCACCAGGTCCTTGTAGAGCACACCTGAACACACAGAGCAGCTGAAAGTTGAGTCTGCAGAGCATATAAAGCTCTAAACAGCTCTTTCTTGAAAAAATGTAAACACAGCTTTATACACAGAAATCAATATCACTATATAAAATGATTATTAAAAGAAAGGGGACCTTTTGGGTTTTTTAACACAAGAGAGCATGCGTGTAGAGCGGAGATTGTGTGGCCTGGAACAGTGTCGGGTTACACATTTTTTCTCCATACACGGCACAGTGACCCCGCCATCATGGAGACATTATTAGCAGGTGATTGGCTCGGAGCCACCACACGCAGAGAGGCCTGCACTCCCACACTGACACATTCACAATTCAAACTTAAAAGCACTCAGTAACTAGCAAAACTCTCACAAACACTCTGTGACATCTGCCCGGAAAACAGACTCCAAAAACAATGGTCTGTGAACATAATGTTGGACAGGAGTAAAAGGTTTACGTGTCACCTTTAACTGACCTCTTACATGGTCTCACATGTTAGCAGCTCTGCTCTCAAAGTACAGTAAGCATAGCCTCAGTCTCACTTCACTACAGCTCTCCCTATTTATGGAAGATCTCTAGCAACCTGTTGCAAACAGTTCATGATCTGTGGAGTTTTCCACTCTTCTTGCCAGATAATAATATCCTTAAGTGAACTCTAATTCCTCAACTCAAAAACAGAGGAAATCTAAACCAAAAGACAGCATGCAGACCTGAGCTGTCATCTTGAAAAAGATTGAAAGGTTAAGCAGACAGATGTGCATTTCCTACCTCTGGAGGCTTCTTGGTCCCTTAACACAGGGTAGGTCCTGAAATGCCTGCTTCTAGGAATCCTCTGACGGACCCCTTTATGAAGCAAAGCGACAGAAGAGCTGGAGATGCAGCGCAGTAGGGACGACATGGCTACTGAGCGTCGGCCCTGAGACTCCCTCTTGCTCTTGAATATGAACACAAACAAACAGAGGTCAGTAACTGTCAAATAAAAAAGCACATTATAATCCCCCCCAAAAAAGTAGTTCCTGAGCCCCAAAGTCACACAGTCAGGCCGTCTGTGCTGCGAGGCCTACTGACAGCAAAGTGACATTTCAGCTCTACAGGACACGAGACACACTCACACACACCAAGGGCCCAGGGTTGATTACACACCACGGACTTGTTCGCGAGATCTGGAATTATGACGGCACAGGGGGGGGAAACTGTGCCAAGTCTGGCCTGGTTGTTGTAAGCAGAAACAGAGAGAACAGGGCAGAGAAATCAGATTAAATGCTGTGAGGTTAGGGAGGGACAGCTCAGGACTCAGACACACATCCTCACACCTTAACCTCAACCCTACATAAAAATAGTAGGCCTATTGATTATTTTTACTAGTGGTCTTTAAAAAAAAGTGAAAATCACCAAAAAAAAATAAAAGTGTAGAAATGTGTACTACTCTGATTTGTGTTTTTATTTGTGGATAGAAAAAGAATGTTCCATCTTTCACTAAATTACAAAGTCAACCAGTGTCCTTCATCCTCCATCTTAAAATATTTAGTTGATTGCTTTATAATAGCCAGACTTGCCTTTCAGATCTCCAGGAAGGGCAGGTTAATGGTTCAACCTCCTTCCGCAGCAGCAGGGGTCAACTAGACGTCCTATACAAAATCCCCCTCTTCTGCTCGCAGGACGCCCTTCCGCAGTTTCGATATCAGTGCAGAACTATTTATGTATAAATAGTAAGTCATGTGATTTCACCCATGTACCACCAATGAGCAGATAAACTCCCAGCGGGCGCTGCAAGACTACCTGCGAATTAAAGGCTGGATTAACATGTGTATCACAAATGGCTGGTGGTAACTGTACTTTTTAATGGTATGCATGCACCCATACATATTGCGATAGCCCCTCTCACTTTTCAAGCAGCTCTCAAATAAAACAGAATGATGTTGCGGTTACAGGTACATATAAGCGGGAAATATAAATGTAACATGCTTATTTAGTTTTTCTACCTTTGCTGCATTTATATTTTCTTGACGCAGGGTGACGCCAGAGAGCCAGAGACAGTTGTTACACTTTATTGCTGAACGACTATGGCTATTTCCTGTCTGTTTTTGTTTCTTTTAAATATTACACAATATCTTTTAAATTATTATTATTATTATTGTTGTTGTGGTTTTGAATGGCTATTATAATGTATAGATTTTATTTCCAACATGGCACATTTTCAAAACATGTTCAATACACTGATTGAGCAATAAGCATACTAAAATAAAGGTTGGCACTTGAAGGCTTAACATTAGACTATGACAATGATTCAACCGTCTTGTTTATTGTAAGTATAAGATAAAATAATAGAAAACAGACTGAAAAAAACCAAAGACACAAAAGGATGAAAGCTTCCAAAAATGTCACCCTGAAAAACGTATAACTTAAGTGAGGGTAGCTAGCCTACACATTAAGTATTTGTGTTATTTGACAGTATTAAGTGGTAATGGTTACAACAACTTGACTCAATATGTTTCCTTTTTAAATAAATAACAATATTAAGTTTAATTTTTGAAGCGGAAGACAGCTATTCCGCAGTTTCGCGCAGGGTAACGTTTTTGTTGGCCATCATTTTTTAAAACACCACATGGGTTTTGTAAACATTGTACGGTCTGTGTCAGGGATGTATCAGCAACACTGTTAACGCCGATATCATTTTTGCCATCATTTCGTAGTGCCACACATTCTCTGGTATGTAACTAACTAACAGTATTTAAAAGCACACACGCAGCGAGCTTAAGAATGAGGTTGTAGCTAACAGCTAGTAGCATACGTAACCTAGCTAAAGTTTAAACGTGTGGCACTATCTCCATTCCTGCGTGTGTCACTGTGATACAGAAGTAACGTTTTCTGATTGCCTTTCTTTTTTTTTCCTGTCAGCGAGGCTGCTGTTGGACACTAATGTCTCTGAGGCTGCTGTCAGTGGATCCATCGGACCGGGGCTCTCAGAGATGCAGGCTGGGTCCAGGCTTGATGTCAGCGCTGGGTCTGGGTCTGGGCTCCCCGCTGCTAGTCTCTGTTCCCGGGGGGAGCTGCCTGTGCACCGCCTGGCCCCGGGCTGACCTGGCAGAAGGCTTCCTGCAGATGGACCTCAAATGTTCCTCTCCAAATCTGATCTTTTACCCACCCTCTCAGCTCTGCCTGGACCCTGGCCAGCTCACACCTGTGCCCTGCCCCAAACTGAAACATGTGAAGATAACTGTGGTGGTCCAGAGTGTTGACTTTAAGAAACACACACCTCCCCGCCTTGTTCACGAGCTTGTGAAAGACATGCTGAAAGGGGTGTATGTCCACAACAAGCATGTGATAAACCTAATGGATTTTGACACAGAGATTCGATATGTTGTTATCGAAAGCATCGATCTGGAGTCTTCCAGTGCTGGATTGATCACCTCCAAAACTGGTTTGGAGATAACTGGCATCCAGACGGTCCGGCATTACTGGAGTCACTTGCAGGGCCATCATACTGTCCCAGTGGGGGGTCTGGATGAGGTCAGCATACATTTCATGTGATGACATCATTGTTGTGTTTCACCTCCTACATATGTTTCACTGTATTGTAGGTGAGTGCCTCCCTGAAAGAGATGCTGCAGCTGCCCCTGCTCTATCCGGCCACCCTGAACTCTCTCGGGGTGTCCTGTCCCAGAGGTGTACTCCTCCAGGGGCCTCCGGGTGTGGGCAAGACCCTGCTGGTCCGCAAAGTGGTGGGGGAAGTGGGAGCCAGCCTGGTTGTGGTCAGAGGGCCAGAGGTAACATACTATCAATGACATTCTAACACATGCTCTGTGTTTACATTAAGTTATTGTGTTCAATTCTTTAAAGCTCTATTTCTAGTTACCTGCAGCACAATTCAGACCTGTGACTCTGGGAAGAAATATTTTAGAAAAGTCTTTAATAAAAAAAATCTAAAAACTAATGAAAATGCAGATATCTTCTTATGGAAAAATAATGCCAACCCACCTCTCCAGTTATACATCTCCTTGACAGAAATCATCCACAACGTTTTAAACTATTATAGTAAAGAATGTTGCTAAAAAAATACTTAATTCTCAAGCCAAAAAGGCCAAATTACAAAGCAGCGTTCTTTCAAATTAAAATAAAATATTTTTGAATTATATGTTACAAGGAATTGTTCCTGTCAATGTTATTGTACATTTTAGATAATAGATTGTGATAATACTTTTAACCAATAAAGATTCAAATGATCCAAACTGAGATTACACTTCAAAATAAACTCACTTACCTATATACAGTGGCGGCTGGTGGAAAATATGTGTGTTTGTGTGTGTGTCATACTTGCCAACTCTCCCAATTTTCGCGGGAAACTCCCGCATTTCTCCCGATTTCTGACAAAATCAGATTTACTCACGACTGTTTCCACTCAGACTTTAATACAGCTACTCCATTGTTTTGTTTCCATGGTAGCGTGTCTCTTTAGCAGCGCGCAACTCAAAATCTGAGAGGGTGAGGAAGATGAAAACTGAACAAGAATCGACAACTCGACCCTCTGCTCACTCCTTTCCTGGTACAGGTCCAGCCCACACATATGCTCAATGGTGCTACAGGCATTGCCCTTACAACTACAATAAGCATGTAAATGTTAATCTACAGCTCCAGCGATCCACTAGCACCGGAGTCTCCACCTGCAGACGCAGCCATCCTTGACAACTACTGTAGCGTCACCTTGGATACGAGTCCAAACAACTCACAGACACAAAGGCCAGGGCGCTGACAGGGCGCCCTTTGAGCCTCAGATCTGATGACGCTGATTGGCTGAAATTATGTTTCGGCGGCATAGTTTACAGATAGCAACAGTCAGCTTGTTGGCTGCTGCTGCAATGGTTAAGGGCTCCTTTCTTACCGCCCGGACGAGAGAGAGTAATGATACACGCTGCGGCCAGGCAGGAAACATGTGACTTATCAGTAACTTTAGACATCGTAAAACTAATTTAAACGAGATTTTATTGTAGATTATACATTTTACTGATACCAACTATATAATATTTACCTCGTTCATTAAAAATAAAAAATAAAAATAATAATTACATATATATTTTTATTTATTTTTAATTTTTAATGACAATCAAACATGTGGGAAGAGGGGGGGCGGCGCCCCTATGGGCCGGCCGCCACTGCCTATATATATATTTTGTAAAGCATTGTGAATGTGTTGCATTAATACATATTGTTCTTCTTCTAATGTGTTTATCTAATATTGATTGCAGGTGGTGGGATCGCATCCGGGGGAGAGTGAGGAGAAGTTGCGAGCTGTGTTTGAGCGGGCTCGATCAGCAGCTGAAGAGGGTCCGTGTGTGCTGTTCCTGGATGAGTTGGACTCTCTGTGTCCGAAGAGGACCGGCTCGTCGGCTCCGGAGAACCGGCTGGTGGCTCAGCTCCTCACACTGATGGACGGGATGAACCAATCGGATCGCTTCCTCATCATCGGAGCCACTAACCGCCCGGACAGCTTGGACCCGGCCCTGCGCAGGCCTGGAAGATTTGACAGAGAGGTGCAGATGATAATATACTCGACCTGATACAGCATTATAAATGTAAATTGAGGTTCTAAATGTGTACATCTTTCCTCCAGGTCATCATTGGAGCTCCCACCCCGCAGCAGAGAAAGGCCATCTTGTCCGTTCTGAGTGCGAGGATGCCTGTGAGTCCCAGTGTGGACATGACAGAGCTCGCTCAGAGAACTACAGGCTACGTCGGAGCGGACCTCAGCGCCCTGTGCAGAGAGGCTGCCATGCATGCTATACGAGAAAACTCAAAGGTACTTTATAATTGTATTTGTATTTAGTCAGGCATCATTGATATTAAAATTGTGTAAGTAGGGCCTGAGATAAAAAAAAACAGAGACAACACAACTCTTTGTTTGCAGTTAATTCTATTTAAAAGATTCATGCATTAGTGCAGTGTTTCTCAAACCTTTTCATACCAAGGACCACTTAACCAATAAAAAAATACTCGCGGACCACCTAACTCCACAAATATCCAAAATCACATCGTTTTTTCTTTTTTAACAGATTACAAATCGCCTGAAAATGGTACAAACAAGTGGCAACATGTGTGATGAAGGTGTTGCGCTGGGCTATATCATGCAATCGAAAGTGAAACTTAATCTCGCTCCATTGCGGAGATATTCCCGTGAGAGTACGGAAAACCTAAATTTATTTATTTATTTCAAATGGGAAATGTTACCAATATACTCACGGACCACTAGGGGGCGCTCACGGACCACCAGTGGTCTGCAGACCACACTTTGAGAAGCACTGCTTAGTGTATACATTTGGGATATCTAATGTTAAGTAGTTTCTGTATAGTAGACTTTGTTTGCTATATTTTATTGAAAGAAGAGCTTTGAGGTAGTTTGGAAGCTTCAACAGTAGCGCTTAATAGATGAATAACTATGATGGCTTTTCCATATTAGAACCATACATTTGTTTGATACAGAGAATAATGACGCAGCATTGTTATACAGTGTGCCTGAAATGTGTCTTGAATGACTTGTAATCATATTTAATTGTTTCACTCATTTTATTTTATATATAAGGCTGAACAGGAAACAATATTTTAGGCCCACTACAGTGCAAATTGATAATAAAGTTGACTTTCACTTTGACTGAAATATGGTAATGGTACTTTATGAACCTTAAATTGCTTTTGCACAGTCATCCTATATGTACCCAGGAGGACTCTTTTGACAGAAGAAAGAGAAGAAGAACATCTCCATACCGCTCAATCTGTACAGAATTTGGTAAAACCGCGTTCTCCTTCTCGCGCGCCAAATTAGTTTACCTAAATTAAAAGTAAAGTAGAATTGATAATGATACAGATTATCATGGTTAAATAATATATATTGCATTTAGCTGTATATGAGTGCTTAAAAATGCTTTAAACCCTCTATTGCGTTAAAGACATGTATGACCTTTCTGAATTGTTTTGCTTTGTTAATATTGTCTGTAGAGTTCAGGAGAGCAGGTGGTGGGGATGCAGCACTTCCAGGAGGCCCTGAAGGCGGTGGGGCCCTCCTGCCTACGGGGCAGCCTTGGCAGGACGGAGCTGTGTCCGCTGTCCTGGGATCAGATAGGAGGCCTGGATGAGGTCAAACTCAAAATAAAACAGGTAAATAAACGCCTGATTTCTTTCAACACAAAACACAAAGCGCTTGACTGGTAAAGGAAAATATCTGTCATTGTAATTCCCTCCCTCTCTACTCTCTCGTGTCTGAACCTCAAAGAGTATCGAGTGGCCGATGTTATACCCAGAGGCGTTTGTTCGCCTGGGTCTGTGTCGGCCCCGCGGCGTTCTGCTCTACGGACCTCCAGGCTGTGCGAAGACCACGCTGGTGAAGGCTGCAGCGGGCTCCACTCACTGTGCCTTCCTGTCAGTCGGTGGTGCTGACCTCTACTCTCCGTATGTGGGAGACTCAGAGAAGGCTTTGGCGCAGGTACTTTCTTTTTCCAGTCTGTAAATCCCCAGCTGTATTTGTATCCTCATGATTCACCCCTTAACACCTGCACCTGGCTGCCCACACACAGCTGTTCCGCCAGGCCCGGGCCTGTGCGCCCTGTATCCTGTTCCTTGATGAGATCGACTCTCTGATTGGCTCACGGTCCAACAATCAGACACCGAACAGCGTACAGACCCGCCTCCTGTCCGTGCTCCTCAATGAGATGGATGGGATTGGGCTGAAGACGCTGGAGAGGAGAGGGACGGAGAAGATCCTCCAGGCGGAGGGTGCGGAGGAGAATAGCACGCAGAAACAGGTCCGATATCATCGAGGCTTTTACTCCTCCTTCTGTTGCTCAAATACACAACATTTTATTTTCTGACACAAGAGGTCTTTCAATAAAAAAGAATAAGAAAATTGAGTTTGAAGTCATCAATTGCTGTCATGTTCTCCCAGTTAGGATTCGTTCATTGTTCATAGCTCAGTTTAATATTTCACTAACGCTGTTTGCTTACATTTGCTCAGCTTGTATCTTTCATAACCTCAGGTCGACCCGTCCAATGATTAAAATCCTTAATCTGTTTCAAATATATAGTCCGTACGACCGAATGTGTCTCACTAAAATGCTTCAAACTGGATAAAAGGTCAAAAACAACCACCAGCCTGATGCATGCTTCAAAGGGGATACAGGACAATTACAGGCAATTTGACCTTTGACCTTTGAGTTGATTACAATTACCAATTTCTCTAGATTTGAAACTTGTTGAAAACATTTTATATAATGTATTATACAAAATATAGTTCTGGTTGTTTTTACACATGTAAAAGCAGAAATGTTACATATTTATAATATTCAGTATGAGGTGATTTAGTAAACACTTGATCCTAAAAGCTGTTTTTGCTCTTTGACAGTTGGAGTGCCAGGAAGTGTGCAACAAAGAGGTGATGGTTGTCGCGGCGACAAACAGACCTGACTGCTTAGACAGCGCCCTCCTCAGACCTGGCAGGCTGGATCAGATCATCTATGTCCCTCCACCTGACCATCAGGTGAGTTATTGTCTAAACAGGGAATAACTAGTTTTGGTACAACAGTTACTTAATCTTTAACTAACCTCACATTGTCTGTCTCCAGGCTCGTCTGTGCATCCTGAGGGTGTGCACACAGTCGATGCCTGTGTGTGCTGACGTGTGTTTGGAGGAGCTGGCTGCAAAGACAGAACTTTACTCTGGAGCTGACTTGGAAAATCTGTGTAAAGAGGTAATGTGGACACCTTCATTATTCTAAAATACAAAATGTAATCATGGTCCAAAGTGTTAACACGGATAAACCGATAGAGGAAGAATGACTGAAAACTGTTTTTGTTTTCCCAGGCTGCTCTGTTGGCGCTACAAGAGGAGAACATGGAGGCTTCTACCATCAAACACACATACTTCCTGCGGTCCCTCGGCCACATGAGGCCCTCTCTCACTGCACAGCAGATTCAGTCATATCAAAAACATCCCAGATGACAAGTCACTATTTCCTCTGCATTGATACAAAGTATTATTAAAGAGATGGATATACATTTGCAATAAAATAAGTCAAACTTGAACTTTGGGAGTATTTGGAAGTATTTTTTTACCGACAGGCACTCAAAATGCAAAAATATTTGAGATCTGCACAAAAAGATACCCACCAGCCATTGACTTTCGGTTCTCAATGTGGCCACTAGGGGGTACTGTTCCCTCATAATATATTGATCATCAGTAAATTCAATACGTTGACGGATTGGACTCCACTTGTGCATTTCAGAGCAGGAAGCTCTGTCTGTCTACGTGCCTTTCACCTCGTACAACCTCTCATCCAGCCTACATCAGCCGGGCTCACAGGATGCTGCGCTAAAGACATCAGAGACTTCTCAGCAACAACAGGTGAGACTTTCCACACAGTTGCCTCTTCAACATATACACTTTAGTTTACTGAATTGACTTTAAGCTTCATTTTAAAGTGGAAATATTAAACAATTCCTTTTTAGGTATTTGAGAAATCAGAAAAAATGGTTGGATTTTTCCAAATGTTGAGAAAGAAAAAGGAGGTGAGATGGTCTTTACTATCTTAAGTGATTTTGTATTGTGGGTATTGGATTTGTAATATTATGATTCAACAAAAAAATTTATGTTTTCCTGTATTTCAGCTGATCCCTCTGATAGGTTTCATGGCTTTTGCTGCAGCAGGAGCCACCTCGGCTGCTGTCTACTTTCTCTTTACTAAAACTGATGTTATGTGAGTGTCGCTTTCATTTTCTGAATTATTATCCATTCTGTACCCAGGCTTTACCCAGGTTCGAATTCGGCCTTGAACCATGTACGCATGTCATCCCCCCTGTCTCCCCCTTTCAACCCTGTCATCTCCGATAAAGGCTAATCTGGCCCAACAAACCTTTTAAAAAAATATATATATATTAAGGGCTTTACATTTCACTTAACTTTTTAATGTTTTTATTCTTAGATCATACTTAAATATCAGCGTCTGACATATAATCAATACTTAATGATGATGCAGCATTTCCTTCACTCTTTTTAGTCTGAATAGGAGCAGAAATCCAGAACCATGGGAGCGAGTGGACCCATCAAAATCCCAAAAGGTAATCCATAATATACCAGATATTAAAAAGCATTTTATAATGTGTATTTTATATATTGTTTCACAAGGTTTAAATGGTTGTAGTTAACCCTTATTTATTATTTCTGGCACGTAAGACAAGCATGATCTTCCAACTTGCATCTAAAAACTGCTGAGTCACTGAGGAAGGAATGTTATCAAACTAGTACCAGCCTGCTTTTGCATCAGATTAAGGTTTATGTTTTCACACATGTTGAATCACGCTGAAGCCACTAATGGGATTGTTGCCGCTTTGAGCTGATATAAAACTTGCAGTCGGTCAGGTCAAGCCTAATTATGGTTTCTGACATTTTGCTGCAGCTCATCACCATCAATCAGCAGTGGAAACCAGTGAAGGAACTGGAGTATGTGAAGAGCCTGACTAAGTAAAAAGAAAAGAGGATGAAGCATCTTCTAGAAATATCCACAGTCTGACCAGCTGCCTGCACCCCATCAGTCTAACAGAATCCTTTCTGCACAAACTAGGATACTTTGACACTCAGTGTGCGGAAATGCTTCTGCTCCACTGGTGGGGTTTCACCCGGCTCTGTGGTGACCCAGCCCGAGGACACCCATCCACAACAGTAGACAAATATAACAAATACTCATACTGCCATTGAAATATAAAAAAAAGAATTTCACTTTGGGTTTCTGTGATTGCATCTAGAAGCCACATTAACATTAAATAAGCTGTGTTGTTCAATTGCTTTCAAAGTTGATGTACTATTGTTTCTACTTGTGACCCAAATGGTAACGAATAATATAATATTGTACTAATACGTAGTGTACTGTGTATGTGCATTGTGTACGTGTTAAACTTTCGGTGTTGCTTTTGTTGTTAAAAGCTCTATAAAAAAAAACATTTATACAGGATAAACATGTCTTCAGCCTTTTCTTAACCCTTTTTAATTGAATGAAAACTCTTCATGTTTATTTCACAAGCTTCGATGTCATGTGACCCCATGTGACCTCCAAATCAATGCAGCACTGTACACGTAGGATACACCTCTTTATTAAACGTTTATCTGATTATACGATGTGAAAGTTTTAAAAGAAAATAAAAAAAACTTCTGGATGTTCATACAATAAATAAACTGAAGGTGGAATAAAATAAAATGTAACATTTGTTCAGATACGATGTTGCATTGATTTGGGGTCATTGTTTCAGATGACTTAAAAGCTGTTAAAAGACTCAAATTATCTTCTATTAAACATATTTTTGAAAAATAAATTCATGACATATCAGTAAATCTAAAGTGTTCCACATAAGACACACATACTCAGAGTTTGAGTCTGAAGACCCCAGTAAATGTCTGTTTTATATGGGGCATTCTACCGAATTGATGCAAAGTGCGGTCCCACAACAAGAAAAACTATTTAATAAAACAATTAAGTATTCAGACATAGACATTTACTAAGAATATGTCATGGTCTATTTAAACATAAGGCATTCAATTATATAGTGATAAGCTTAATATATACAAAAACATAATTTATAATTTCATGTTCTGTAAATAACACTTTATTTTGTTGAATGGTGTATTTAGAAGATCTTTATGATTACATTCAAACAGAAGTTGGAATATTTAGATTTATTGTGGGTTTAATTTTTTAATAAAAGAACTATACTCAAAAAATCATGTCCCCAGTCACTACCGAAACAAAAGGGGTTTTAGTCCAATGGCTGAGCCTGGTTTTTAGCCACACCCCTGCATTTTTGACAGTGACACTTCATCCCTGTCCCTCATGGCTGAATGGCCAGTAGCTATATCCCATACTTTTGATATAAATCTGTTCCAAAATCTGAAAATTGACGTGTAACCTTAAGAATCTTCAATTAAGTAAACTCCTTTTTCTGCGATTTATGACAAGTATTAGGTTCTCGCTCGCCGCTCACCACCTCTTCCAAAATGTGTAACTGCTGCCATGTAGTTGCTAGCTTATTTAGTTATGGCTTAATTTTAGCTAGAATCGTCACGACCCAACAACATCATACGGTTACGTTTCGGTAATTGACATGATCGTTTCGGTAGTGACAAAATGGAATGGTAAACTGGTAAATCCCATAGTTTTGAAATAAATGTGTTTTAAAGTCTGAAAATCAGTGTGTTACTTTAAAGGTCTCCTATTATACCATTGTTAGGCATATATTATAGCAGGTCTCAGATATATAAAAAACATGTCTATTAAGTGTTTTGCTCAAAATACCAAACAGATCATGCATTCTATCCTCATTCCCCTCTATTTCAGCATGTTACTAAGTGCTGATTCTGCGTCAGTATACTTCAAACATTCACACTTCAACATAAGGCATGTTATGAGTTAAGATTAAGCAATAAGGTTGAGGGAATATGAAACAACCTTTAGAACAAAATACTGTGGTCACTACCGAAACACTGGATGTTTTGTAAAAAGTAAAGTATTGAGTTATCAACTAAAATGATATGATACTGATTGGTTTAATGTATGTTCAATTTCAACAATCATCAACTCTGGAATCAATATGACCAGTATTATGCATTTTACAAAGAAAGTTTGCATTATGATTTTTATGAATTGTATAAATTGAACTTTGAAACATGATTACAAATTACATTGCATTGATTTACTTGTGAAAACCCTCAATAAATATTTGTTTGAATACTATTTAGAGAAGGGAAGGTAAAACAATCTTAATAGGTTAATATAATACTTTTTTACTACAGTGTATGTACTATGTTTCGGTAGTGACCATTTTTGGTAGAGGAAGAACATTCCAATACAGTCTGAAAATATAAAAATGCACGGTTCTTTTAATAGATATGTGTAATTTAGATATGGTACAAAATATATATGGACAAAGTTTTGGGGAAAAAACATACAAAATTTCAAAAACTATTCCAACCTGACTTTGCACCAATTCGGTAGAATGGCCCATATATAAAACTGACGTCATGCAGTCATAATTTCATTTTCAGCAAGAAAGCCGCATATTTCCCCAAATGTTGTTCTATAAAATGATGAACATTAAGGAGAAACACATGTGCTTGTGGCCAAGTGCTTTGATAGGCTGGAGAAGTCAAAATGAATTGAGAAATTGACACAATGATGATTTTTTGTCTTTCCATGCAATTTGTGACATTGAGAAAGGTTAGAAACAGCTTGTAAATGGACCTGTAGGTTGGTTTATTGATTGAATTTAATTGAAGGTTAATCATCAACTAACTACCATAGTGGGGTAAAACCCAATACAGCCTGAAAGCTCTATTTCCTCCAGAAATGTCAGATCTGTTTGGTCATCGGCCGTTTACATGGTCAACAATAACCTATGAAACTCCACCTTGTAAAACTTGTTTAACAGTTTTTCATTCTTTAATTGCCAGACGCCGGGGGCTTTGAATGTCGTTTGCAGACGAGGAAATGGTGAGATGTTGCCTGCTAGGGCAGCTGTAAAGTAATTACTGCCATCCACACGATAGGCAAAGGCACTCAGCTGATTATTTTATGGCTGCGGGGGCATTCAACCCTATCATTGAGTTTTGTAATAAGAGCCAATCCTCTTAATGTCCATCTCCTATCTCAGAAGAGAGCCATCCTACAGTGTCTGACTAAACTGTACTCTCTGGCTAGCAAAGCTCACTGGACTGATTTAATCAATTATTAAACTATAAACAAAAGGTGTGACCAGAGGGAGAAATGAAAGGCATGGCTATTGTTTCTTGATCCGTTTGGCGTGCCTATTTGATCAGGAAAAACTTGGTATTTGGTTTCACTTACATGGAAGTTTTGGTTGTACATGAATATGTCATCGAGGGTGTTTCCCATTTTCTTACATTTACTTCCTCTTCAGTTAACGTAACATTCCCTCCCAATATGTTTTTAATATGATGTTAAAAGCTATGTCTCCCAGTCACATTTCATAGCTTTAGCCTATGTTAAGAAGAGGTACTGTGGAAGAGTGTTGTCTTGTTATTGAGGACATTATCAGTGCCCTTGTTACATGTAGTCAAATAAACAGTAAGGGAAGAGAGAGAGGGGGGGAGACATTCATTTCAGCTATCAAGCTATGTGCAACTGACAAGTTATTAAGGGAAACAATGACCAAAGAGGAAGGATATATTATGCTTGGCTGGAATTTGTGTACGTGACTCAATCGCAGTCATGACACCACAGACCATGTGACCAGCAGTAAAGCAGGTAGTGGCTCCCACAGAGCAAGTGAAGTGAGAGATGCAAATCTGCTTTGTCATCTAGTGGTGCATTGCTATGATAATACTCCATTTTGACCTGCACGTTGCTTCTTAAACTGGTTCAGACACTAGTGGCTGCAGATGCTCATGAAGGCCGTTTATGGGTTTCTCAGGAAGGCAGGGCAGTCGGTGGATGCTGTAAATAATTAGCTCTGCTGCAATACAAACACAAGAGTCACCCGCCTGTGGTTACCTGGAAACTGAGACACTCCTAGTTCACTTGTGTAGTCAATAACGAACATTTGATTAGTTTAGTTTGAAATAAAACATTATTTTGTGTGCAAATCCATAAGCAGTTAATGTCTAATGCCTAATGACTCGTATTTGTTTGCCAATTGAGTCTTAAATAGGCCAATTGACCAAATTTCAGTCATGTATTTATTTTTTACATACATTTTTATAAATTAAAAAGGCTCTATTCCTAACCAGAAGGACCTTAAATTATGATTGCAGTGTTACAAGAACTTAAAACAAGATTTCAAAGCAGTTTCATCAGGTGAAGAACAAAAACTGTGTGTGTGTGTGTGTGTGTGTGTGTGTGTGTGCCTAAAGTCTAGCCCTCATGCTCACTATCATTTAAGGGGTTAAATAGAGTTTAATGTGTATGCATGTTATCTTATCAAATGTCCAGAATGTCTCAATTTTGTGGGTTGATGGTAGAAGCACACCACCTAGTGTTCAAAAGTGACAGCAACATATCCTGCACACTGTGGTACGCAGTCAGCTGAATCTCAATTACCAATCTTGGATGTCTTTCCAATGTTTCAATTAAGTTTGTTTCTTAATTCAAAATAATATTTATAAGTACTTATTTGATTGAATTGGAAAACTATCAAGATTTGAGTCAAAGTATTTTTTGTGGATTGTTAAAATAAGTTGATAAATTGTGCCAAAAATGCCTTTCCATTTTCTTAGATGTGTTGTTAGAAAAAAAGAGGCACTGAGAGGCAAGCAGAAGATGAAATACTTTATTAGAAACAAAGGGTGATGCAGTTCCTGACTTCCGTCGATGATTCATTTTAGAGACTAGGAAAAGGTTTACAAAAAAACCCCGACAGTCTCTCAACACTGGAAACACTATAAATATTATCAGCGGGTGAAAACTGAAAAAACAGCCAATCAGAAATACTGGTTCACAAACCTGTCTGCATTAGTATACTGTCAGTTTAGGGAATACGAAGAAAATGAGTTTAGGAATTGAGGCTGAAACCATAACACTGTAGCATTAACCATTTTACAAAGTCAGTCACTCTTTGATTGTCAGTTGCGTGGTCGCCTAAATTTAGCTAAGAGCCATGCTAAAATAAAATGTCAGTTTTTAAGTGTTGATCAGACTGCTTTGATCATTTCTAAGGTTGATAAGTTGATGTGATGTCTGCCTAAGGGACACAATGATACAAGTTGTTTTTCCAAATGAACAGAAAATAAGGTACCTTTTCATTTGCAGACATCCTCAGTAAACAAATAAAATCAAGTCCTCACACCTAGAAACAAATCTGATGCTAAAACATCAGTGACAAATCAAACAATAAAATACAAAAAAGTTGAAATAGGCTTCAATGGTGAATTAAGGGCATTCATTTTTCTGAAAGCATCCAAGCTCTCAAAGCTGTGCGAGGTCCCCGGCGGCTGAAGTGATCCAACTATTGGAAATGTGCGCTTGCTTTCCTTTGGCACCAGTCTTTTTCTGTTTGCATGTACATACCGTTTACTGTGTCTCCCTCACAGCAGGCCTTCTGTCTCGGCTGTCCTGTGTCTTGAAGTGCTCCGTGGAAGTCACTGTTCAGAAGAGTCTCTTTCCCTAGGCACTGGACTGCAGGCAGTGTGTGCAGGTGCGCACAGGCCTCAGCCTGTGTGTCTGCACCTGCACCGTGCACCTGCCCAGGCCGTAGGTGTGGAGCAGCAGGTGGCGCGCCTTCGCCTGCACGTCCTCCCAGTTGCTGGCACTAGAGGGCGCTGTGAACACAAACATCAGAGTCAGAATACTTGTATTCATCCCACAGATGGGAAATGTACATTTGTTACAGCAAGTAAAGAGCCAAAGATAGCTTAATTATTCATTATATTATTAAGAAGCACGCACAAAAAAAAGTAGAAATGTCACAATTTACAAAACACACCTCCCGTACCAGTTCAAGTTTTGAGATATAGCAGGCAGGTGGAAGTATTAAAAGTTGAAGTATACAGTATATTGCACAGTTATTGACGGTGTATAAATAGGCGTTATAGTCTAGTCTTTGTTGTTATATGTGTGTGTGGGTCCAACAGGGGATGTGGTGTTTATGCATTTGAAATTAAATTAAACAAGTTACAGCATGTCCAAACAGATCATGTCCAAACAGAATATGTCCCAACAGATCATTTCACATGTCATAGCAGGAAAACACAGATAATTACTGCACACCAGGGCCAGTGTCAGGGCCCTGATGCAGGCCCACTGGGACTCATGTTTATGAACTGAACCATCGTTAAAGTCGTATTAAAGTCATGATTAAAACCTGTGCTATCAAAATGTATACCCACATACTAATTCAATAACTATATGACGGTTGTGTTAGTACCTTCCAGTTTCTACCAGTTAGTTTACAAAAAGAAACCTTGATCAATTTCTATCAACAAAAAATAACACAATACTAGCACTGAAAAACGTCTCTGCATATTAAATGTCACAAAATAAAATCCATGTTTTATAAGAATGTGCAGTTGTGTCCATGAAAAGCACACTCAAAACCTAGAAAGAAATCACATGTTATGTGTATTACCCCCTTTTTGAGTATGTGCGATGTGACACTTTTCAGTGTACCTTATAGTAGTGTTCAAACTCTTTCATGGACTAGAGCAGTCATTCTTATCAGACATACTCTCAATGTAAGCTCTGCCAGATGTGCTGCATGTGTTGAACTGCTCTGGAAAAGGTTAAACAGCTCTCTCAAGAAATAACATCTTCTATATTGTACGTTTTCACAATGTCACTCAAAGTTTATCACCCATTTTTACATTTTGTGATACAACAGCTTGAATTCAAACTGGATCAAAACAAGGACAATCGTATTCAAACAAATACGGATGCAATTTGAAAGCCAAGGGAAGAACTGGCAGTTAAGTTTCTTGTGAAACAACTGTGATGAAATGAGAACTAAAGTCCTGTGAAAAATAAACACAGGAACAAGTCTCAGCACATAATCCACACTTTGATCTTACTTTTACTTTAAAACAAAAACTGAAGCCAAATGCAAAAAGAATATATTTGCTCTTACAGGTCACTGACATTGAACAGATTGCCAAAGCAACACCGAAAACAACCTAAATCAAAGTGGTCAAGCCAAAAGTAGCTCTTCATGATCACTGACAAGCCATCAGAAACATAAGCAGAAAGACTTCAAGATGCCTTCACTGCCGTAGTATTTCTAGTCTTGACTTGGTTGATCAAATATGTACGTGTGCTATCTGTTCACTTTATTAGAGCTGAAAGAAGAAAGTGTATCTGCAAGTATTTTGATAGTTGATGAGTTTCTGTTAAAAAGTATCTATATTGATGCTGAAACATACATATTTAATATGTTCTGAAGCCCCTTGCATATGGACATATACCTTAAAAAACCTACAATGTAAGAAATGTTTTATGAAGCTTGTTAATAAATGAGTCATAATAAATCCCAAAACAACCTTTTTTGAGTGAAAACTAAAGAAATGGATATAAAATACTTATGATCCACATAATAGTTCTATATATTTAGAAACGTGATCCTTTCAACCTTCTTTCTTCTTGTCTGTACTGAGGGTATGTATCTACTCACCCAGCTGCAGATGCACTACAGCTGCAGTCTTGTCCGTGGTCAGTGCCCAGACGTTCAGCTCATCCACTGATTGGACGTCCTCCAGTTTCAGGAGGTCTTCTTTGATTCTCAGAGTGTCCAGATGCCTGGGAACACCTGAGGATGAAATAAACTCCTTAATGCACCTACGCCACTTTAAATACTCAACATCCTCTGAAGGCACAGCAGGACCACGGCCAGAGACGCACCCTCCAGCACGATGACTATTGTGTCTCGTATGATCCGGAACGTGGTGACGAGTACCAGGATGGAGAAGATGTAGGTGCAGATGGGGTCTGCCAACTTAAAATCCGGCTGTGAAGTCAGAGAGTTACATCGGATCGATTAAAATCAAAGTTTCATATGAATGCATGCTTAGCCATCCCTGTATTTAATATCACTTTAAATCGAAAGACCATCAATTAGTTTACAATTAGTGAATTTGTATGAAATAATTTATATATTTTCGTTTAATTAAATGCTTTTATACGTTTACAACTAACACTTGGTTTTAACAACACAATGGCTTTAAAGCTGTATGGTTCACACTGCCTTGGGAGTTCTCTGTTAAATAGGTGTCAACACTTAATTACCAGTTTTATTTTCAAAAAGTAACAGAATGACTTTGTTGGTACAATACCATTTTGTTTTACAATGGTTCTACAAGGTAAATACATGGTCAAATGGATGGATGAATGGATGGATGGGTACCTTGAAGCGGACGATGTAGGCCGCTATGAGCACCCCGATGCTCTGGACCAGATCTCCCAGAGCGTGGATGAAGGCCGCTCTGACAGCCAGGCTGCCCTGCTGCCTCTGCCCCCCCGACCCCCCTGACTGTGAGGCGGCTGCAGAGCCGTGAGAGTGACCATGGCCATGTGAGTGACCGTGGCCGTGAGAGTGACCGTGGCCACCTTGGTTTAACAAGAAACCCATTCTGTAAGACACAGAAGAAAACAAAAGAAAGAAAGAGGGCGTTTTTTTTAAGGCATTGGAGTTACACGTATGTTGTGTTTTTAACTAAGACAATGCTCTCAATGAGTTTAATCATTCACCTTCCAAATATGGTCAAATATTAAATACTGAGAATCATCAACTGGAGAGGTGATGACAGGACAGGACTTTGGGCCAATCTTAAGCTGACACTCATAGGCACGATTACAGCGTTGTCATATTGTGCACTCTTTAAAAAGTGACTTTTTACTTACATGAGGTTGACAGCCACGCCCACAGCTGCAGTGATGAGCATGACATCCCCATCTATGTCGAACTCTTGGTGTATCGTCCTCTGAACGGCCTCGTAGAGCAGTATGGCTGTCAGGATGTAGATGAGCACTACACTGAGGACTGCTGATACAACCTCTGGGGACGGAGAATAACGGTCAATTGTAGATACAGAGCATGTTTATTCCAAAAAACTAAGATACAGGACCAACATTTTTTATATTTGAAAGGTCCAATTTGTTTATACTAGAAATGATTTATGTTTAGCCTTCACCAATAACTGTCTCAACTGTATTTCACATGCTGTCTCCTATCAAATACACGTTTAGTAATGCCTCCTACAAGGATCCAGCTGGAACCCTGTCCTGTTCTTTATTTTAGAATAGACGACATTGTGTCTTTCATCTGTGACTGTCAAATTCTACTTGATTGGAAAATAATGTTTTCTGATCTACCGAGAATTCTTTCCACTCCTAAACACAGAGATACCCTTTTTGTATCAATTTAGTCCTTAATAAAAACAAAACAATAGTCATGGTATTCTACATATCAGAGATTAAGATTACAACAATTTGCAAAGCACAAAACCACTCACATTGAAAACCCTGATGGTAAACAACCTCAGAAGCTTTTCAGTACAGATGTAAACTCCCCTCTGACGTGTAGAGAGAGGATGTGAAGCAGTTTCTTCTTCAGTTGTGTTATAGATGTACAAATTCATCTGTCGATTGAATGTTTCTCATAACTCTGTCATTATGCTGCTTTCAAATCCGTGTCTCAGTGCTGTCTCAGTGCTGTACGATACCAGAAACATTGGTATAACTGCCTTTTTCATTTATATTTGAGTGTTCTATGTTTTTTTTGTTTTTTTTAAATGGACCAAGAGTCTCTTTAAATAAAGCTGACGATGATAGAGACTTAACTATTTCTAACACACAGAAGGGTTGATATGAGAGAGGAAGTGCAAAGAGGAAGTGAGAATGCTTCTGAGATCATAAACTCACCGAGACGATGCAGGCCGAAAGTAAATCTACTCGTGGGCGGTTTGGTGGAGAGCCAGAGGGCCAGCAGAGAAAACAGAATGCCCACCACGTC